GTGATAAAATCGAGACGCCTGATTGAAGGTCTGAGGTGGGATGGGCTTTTGCATCACTAGCCTCCTCCAGGCAATGCCAGTGCTGCTGGGCCATGGACCACACTCGGGGTAGCGACATGGTGAGGAGTGAATTTGTCCTCCTCACCATCTCCTGGATTCTCCCTGATTTGTTCATCCACCTTCCTTTCTAATCCTAATGTGTTAAAGCATACATTCTCAATGGAGGCAACAGCGCCCCCCAGGGGCAAACATGTGTTCTTGGCAGGGCTGGGAAAGCATCTTACTCTTGTATATAAAGCACAGACACGCATACACACATAAACAGAGCTACAGTATACCTGTGGTGTTTAAATTGTATAGGGGCTGCAATTGGGGGAAAAATGTCTAAAAAGACTCGTTGGAGGGAGCAACAGTGAAAAAAAGGTCAAGAAACCATGGCCTAAAGAAAATGCCCTCTGCCCACTCTGGTACCAAATTTTCAATGATGGGCGTCTGATTATAAAAGAAATGTAATATGTGCCAGCGTGTTCTTTCTAGTGGTCTGCTACCAATCCTACCCAGCAGTCTAGACCACAGGCCCCTCCCCTGCACGTTCTGTACCATCCCTGTTCCACAGGCACAGGCCTTGGGGGTCACAAATACAGGGTGGGGCAAACGTAGGTTTACAGTTATACACAAAACACAGTTTAATCTTGTCTTATTATTTCCTAATTATTGTATTATTTTCCACCCGAACGACTGTGAGCCCACCTGTGCCCACCCTGTGTCGCCCTGGCTGCTGAAAGGCTTGTTCAATGAGTGAAGCCCATTCACACAGGCCGCCTGCCCTCACAGCAACCTTGGCATGGGAGCACGAGCGTCCTGATTCATCGGGAAGAAAACCAGACCTCAGTGGAATAAAGCGATTTGCCTCCTGCCCAAGTCACACGTGTGGGTCGGAGGAGGTGGGTCCCCTGACCCGCAGTCCAGTCCAGGGCTCGCCCCACTGTCCCATCTTCTGTGCTGTCCACGGGGATGCTGCTGACTGTTTGATGGGAGCTTTTAAACAGGTGGGCATGAGTGGGCAGGGCAGGCAGCTGAGATGCTGGGCTCTGTGATGGAGGCTCAGAGTTGCCTCCTCAGCCAGGCCAGGAGGCAGCAGGTTAGAGGAGCTGGTCCCAGCTGCCCACTGGTCCTCACTGTGGGGGAGAGACAGGGTGGAGGAGTTAAGGAGCTATGAATTCAGATGACATGAGAGTAGAGTGAACCTTGGCTTTCTCATTGGTAAAATGAAGGTAATAACAGTGGCAATTTCACAGGACTGTGACATAATAATGTAAAGCTCTTAGATTTGTGCCAGGCACATAATAAGCAATCAAGAAATTGTTTATTTGAAGGAGCTGATCCAAATAGCCTAAGACATTTCTTGGAATATCCATTCTATTTGTTCAGTACCCCACCCCTAAAACTTCCCAAATTCTCAGTGACATAAAGAAAACAAAACCTGCCCTGGCGTGGTGGCTCAGTTGGTGGGAGCGTCATCCCATGCAACAAAAAGGATGCGGGTCTGATTCCCAGTTGGGCGCATCTAGGAGGCCACTGATAAATGTCTCCCCCCTCTTCCTCTCTCTCTAAAAATCAATAAAAACATATCCTTGGGTGAGGATTAAAGAAAAAAGAAAACAAAATCTGCCTTCTATGGACTTCTATGGACTTTAACTATTTCTGAAATCCTCACCTCCTCCAAGAAGCCTTCCTATTGCTCTCACCCCAAGCAGTCTAGACATGGCTACTCTCCCTGGTCCCTATCTCCAGACCTGACTGCCTACTTTCTGAAAATACTTTTTCTTAAAGCCCTCCCCCCAATTATGGTTAGACCCCCCTCTCCACCCCAGTTCCAGTTGGTTCATTAGTCAGACCCTGCTAAGTACATGTCTAGGTGTGAGCCCCTCTCCCTGACTGGCTGTGCCCCCCAATTCCACAGAGGGGACCCAGGTCCAACCACAGGCCCTGCACAGACCCGGCCTGGACCTGAGAGCACCCTGTGAGGCCACTCTTGGTGCAGGAAGAGGCAGAGGCAGAGAGGAGGAGGCCGAGGCTGGATTCTGGGGGATATTTCTCACTTAAGCTTCAGATGGAAAAGGGTGACAGACGACACTTGTAAAGCACAGGGCCGGAGCATACTGAGCAAATGTGCAGGAGGCTGTAAAATCCCGAAGCAAACAAGAGAGAGGCGAGGAAGCAGGTGCCACGGCCCCAGAGGTGAAATTTGCTTCTGAAATATCAATTCCTGAAGTTTTCCAGAGGGCTTCCCAGAGCCTTTTAATGACCAGCTTACGTGTAATGGCATCAAACCCTCCTGGCAGCTCTGAGAATAGAGGAGGCTGGGGCACTGTCCTCCGAGCCTCCGAGGGCCCCTCCCTCTCTCCCAGCCCTCCCTCCTCCAACCCAACAGGCCTCCAGATCTGAACAGGGGCTCAGGGAGCGCCAGGACAAACACGGGGCCACACCATATCTGCGAGGCACACGCTGTTCTTTCCTTTCACAGATGAAAACACAGACGCGCCAGGGGTCAACAAAGATGTGGCAGAGCCAGAATTTGAACCCAGGCCCTCCGATTGAGGTCCCACTCCATCATCTCACAGCTCTATCCCTTCATTTACGCTGGACCCTAAAACCACAACCATGCCCAAAGAAAAATCGTAAAACTCCACATGGCTGTTGCTTTCATCCAGGGCCGGACTCCACCTGGCTGTCTCGGGTTGTTTTTTGTTGTCTCTGCTTTCAGGCTAGTGGCCTCCCTGATCAGAATGGGGACGCCCTGGATGCCAGTAACTGCTCATCTCTACGTAGGACAGGGCACTTTCTGAAGGAGAGCAGACCCTGCTCCACCCCCAGGGGCTGGAGACACTTGGCAAGCCTGGCACTGGGTCCGAGCCCCATCCCTGATTTCACTTCAGAGCTGCAGCCCCGACAAGAAGGGTGATTCCTGCTGTAGCCACACCAGGGACTGGGTGGCCCAAGGCTGCCTGGTTCTCCCAGTGGCCCCACCTACCTCGTCTGCATTTCTCTCCCATCCACCCTCCTTCGCCCCTCCGTGCAGCGTTCTGGAAGCTGTCTGCCCACACCGCCCGACCACATGCCCACCTTCAGATTTCTGGGTCTGAGAAAGGAACCGGAACCTCGGAGAAGCCAGGAGCCGAGCCCCAGCGCCCGTGGACGGCACCCAGTCCAGCCGCACCTCCCCGAGAAGCACTGCCAGAGGCTGAAACGGAAATGCCAAGTTTGCTCTTTGTATTCCCCAGGGCGAGGGCAGGAAGATAAGTAATTACATTCCTGGGCAGGAATTAGACCAGAAACTCTAAATGAGGGCTGGGCAGGGGCCTGAGCAGAAGCATGTGAGGAGGCTTAGGAGAGAGGAACTTGGCACTCGGGCCAGACTCAGAGGGAAAGATGACATTCCAGCATCACGGATGGGCCGGAGCTGCCTGGCCCCCAGCGGCTGCCTGCTGGCTCCAAGTGCAGGCCCTCCCTGCACAACCTTGGCCCCCTCCAGCCTCCCCAGGAGCTGGCCTGTCCGATTTGCTTGGTTGTATAAGCTCCTCGCAGAGGGCAGCAACCCGCCTAGGGCACAAGCCCAAGAAGTGGGTTCTTAGCTTCCAATATCCCCACAATCCCCGCCCCAGCCTCCCCACCGTGAGTTCCAAACCAGCCCCAGTCACATGCAACAGCCTGCCTAGACCCTCCGCCAGGTCCCTGGAAACTTCACAGCTCAGGGACTGGCATCAACCCCCCCCCCCCCCCCCCCCCCCGCAGCTCCCTAGCTTTGCTCCTCCCAAACTGTGGGGGGCCGATTTCCTGAAGCCACCCCTCCCCCCAGCCCGCAAAGGCCAATCAGCCCCTTGCAGCCTCAGAGCCCCCCCCCCACCCCCAACACACACACACACACACACACACACACACACACACACACACACTGGGGCAGGGCAGAGGGTCAGCCTCTACAGCCGTGCCCGCAACTCCAGCTCAGAGCGCCAGCTCCCAGCAGCTCCCTCTCCCCGCAGGTGTCTGTGTCTGCCTGCCGGTCTGGGTACATCTCCCCTCCCTGTGCATTTGGTGTTGGCTGGCTCGGTTGCTGCTGCCTTTGCACAGGCTCCCTGCTCTTTCTCTCTCGGGCTCTGGCTTCCAGGGGCTCTGTCTCTCTCGAACTCACTGCCTATGTCCTTTGTGCTGGAGTGACAGGGAGACAGGCAGGACACCTCCCTGTCGATGCCCGGGGTCTGTGCAGAGCCAGGCACTGCTGGTTTCTGAGCTCTCCGTGGGCTCCCTCCTCCCTGCCCAGGCTAACCTCAGAACCAGGGCAGGGCTGGGTGGGAGTTGGACCTACCAACCAGGCGCTGCTGATGCCAGTTTCCATATTGCTTCATCACGCCATCCTGATGCCCCAAGCTGTACACACGCATTCCCCCTGACCTCCCTGCTTCCGCCTGAGGCCAGGATAGGGTCCCTGAGTCTGCCCGGCCTGTCTCCCCAAACTGCAAGGACGCCTTCCTCCCCTCCAGGAGCCCTGAATCTGCCCCTACCCTACGCTGGTCTCTACCCCACTCGCCCAGCCCACAGGGCGCAGGGAGCCCAGGCTGGACCCAGCCCCCAACAATAGCTCTGGCCAGGCCTCGCGTGTGGAGAGATGCAACAGAGTGGTCTGGCGGCAAAGTTCTGCTGTTTCCATGTTTCCATCTGTCTGGGCTCCTGTCCCTCCCTCCTGCCCTCCGGCCTCACTGGGACCGCTCCCCCTGCTCCTCGCCAGTTTCACCCCCACAACGGAAAACAAGAAAGACAAGGAAACCTCCTGCGATAAGGACGGCGAAAAGAGAGGAGGGTGTCCGCACCAGAGTCCCTGCGAGGGAGTCCTCGAGTGAAAAAAGAACGGATGCAAAGTTCCCGGTCCCCAAGTGCGTTCGCCCCGCGCCGAGCTCCCACAGACACCCGATCGCGGAGACGCGGCTGCAGCGAGCACTCACCTGGGCGAGGCAGCATCTACCCCCGGGTGGGAGGCACCGAGGCCGGCTCCGCGGGGCGGCCGGGCTCCCCGGCTCGGCCACGCATCCTTCCCTGCCCGAGGCTGGAGCGAAGCTCTGGGCTCCGGAGAACGCAGGCGGATGGTGGCTTCGGGCGTCCACGCGGGAGAGCCCTGAGCGGCTTATTCAGTTATATCCATGGCATCTCGCAAGAAAGGAGGAAAAGCACAACTTGTCCTCTCCTCTTCCAGATTAAAAAAAAAAAAAAAAAAAGCAAAAAAAAAATATATATATATAATCCCTCCCTAGGAGGTCGCCTTGGCCGGTAGGATTTTCCAGATCAAAGAGCCACCTGCATTTCCGGGCACCCCGGGCATCTTGGAATGTGGGGTGTCTTCAAGTTCAGAGGAGCCAACCCGGCTGTGTGTGTGTGTGTGTGTGTGTGTGTGATGGAGAGAGAGAGAGCGCGCGCGCCAGGCACTCACACCCACACGCACACACAAACACACTTCCCGCACTCCCCGCGTGCACACTGCCCCCCGCATGCGCGCGCACTCGCGCTCCTGATCACACACACACACACACACACACACACGCACACTCACACACACTCACACTCACACTCACTCACACACAGCGATCACACGCGCAGATCCAGGAGGGCACCGGGGGCTGCGGAGGCTGCGCGGGGCCAGCGGTGGAGGAAGCCGAGCGGCCGTGCGCAGGGTCCCCGCGGAGCTCTCGGGGTGGCCGCCCCCAGTGGCGGACCACGGAGCTGCAGGGCCAAGGAACCAGCCCCCTTCAGCGCGAACCACTGCTGCCTCCGAAACCGGAGCGATCGCGGCCCGCGGAGGTGGCGTGCTGCGGGCAGAGAGGCAGCGGGCTGACCAGCAGGACGGCACGGAGGGGCGGGAGTGCGCCAGGCCGGGGTGGGAGGTGGGGGGCGGCAGGGCCGGGAGCCCTGGGAGCCCGGAGGCCGGGCTCAGCGGCCCAGCGGCGCGGGCAGTCCCTGCGCCAGGCGAGCGGGGCTGCCCTGGCTGTGCCGATGCAGCCGGCGCTGGTGCTGCCGCCTCACGTGCGGAGCTCGCAGTGCAGCCTTCAGCCCGCCGCCTGCCGGAGGAAAATTCGCCCCGTGGTCTGGGCTGGGGGTGGGGGCTGGGAGCCTGGACCCAGCTCTGATTCCCACATCCTAGGACAGACCTATGACAAATGAGAGCCCGAAGAATGCACACACACACACACACACACACACACACATTAAGACTTCACTGGAATACGTGAGGTGTGCACTGGTGCCAACTGTTTGCACATCCTTACAACTGTCCCCTTGTTTGATCCTCCCAGGAGCCCTCATTCGACGTTTGAGGGAACTGAGGTCCAGAACAGTAGAGACTTGTCCAAGGCGCGTGGCAGGTAGTTGGGTCCCTACTCCAAGCTCAGTGTAGGCCTCGCATCCAAAGGGATGGGTCTGGCCAGGACCTCACCTTCCTTTGGTCATTCTCTGCCACTAGGATCAGCAGCAGCTGGTTCCTGGGGACTGGACTCTGCCTTCCTGAGCGTCCCAAGAGGTGAGTATGCCCTTCCCACAGAAGGAACGGAAATGTGGAGACTCCTCTGGTACTCCAGCTGGTAAATCCAGGGCAGGGAGAATGTCATCTCTTCTCCCCTAGTGGCCGACACCGCCCATGCACCCATCCCGGACACCCACAAGGAGGCACATGAGGCCCGTGGCTATGTCTCTGCAGCCCAGGATCAGCTGGAGAAATCTGTAACAGAAGTCCCTGCCTCCTGTCTGTGCACATGGTGGGTGGTGTGTGTGTGTGTGTGTGTGTGTGTGTGTGTGTGTGTGTGTGTATCTGCAGCAGCCCAGGCGCCTAGACCCCATGTGCTGGGCACCCTCCCATATGCACCAGGGAAACCTCCCGGTCAGCATCCTGCAGACCCTGAAAGACCCTGAAAGATGGGCCCTTCCCTGCAGGGATGCTGGAAAGCCTGGGGGAGAAAGGATGTGCCCAAGATGAACTCAAGGCATGGTAGAGGGGGAAGCACAAGGAAAGAGAGGCAGAAACCAGGTGCACAGACACCCAAGGAAGGGAAAAGAAATGAGAAGGGGAGGAAGGAGGAAAGAGGAGGAGAATAGTAGGAAGGTGGGTAGAAGCAAGAGGATGTGAGGGAAGAGGAAGGGGTAGGGATGGAGACGGGGGATCAGCAAGAAGATGTTTTCTTTATTGCCTGCCAGAGGTGGGGGCTACCAGGGAGGGGTAGGAGGACCTATAGCGCAGGCTCCAGGCTCTGACTTTCCCAAAGGGTCAGGGCAGCAGGCTCCTCACCCTACAGTCACCCAAGAGAGGATCAGAAGCTGGCGGCAGGGATAGGAGGAGGCTGGCAACAGAGCAGAGAGGGCCTGCTCTCTGAAACCAGCAAAGCTCTGGGATGGTGTGGAGGAGGGGCCAGGGCCCCCAGAGATGCTGGAGGGATGGCCCAACCTCTGCTCCAAAGTGAACTCCCTTCCCCATCAGAGTTTTCCCAGCTCAGAGAAGGGAATGGATATTCCACGAAGAGCTAGGACCTGGATCATTTCTTGCACTTTGGTTAATTCTGACAACTGTTTTTTTTGTTTTTTTTTCTAATTACGTTGGCCTCAGCCTGAACTGAGCACTGTATTAGCAGTCAGATGACCTGGATGCGCACCATGGCTTTGTACTAGAGGCAATGTGACAAGGCCCTTTCCCTCACAGGGGCTAGCTAGACTGTATACTCCCTAAGGGCCTTTCCAGCTCTAGGAACCTCAGCAGACAGAACAGAGTGGGGACCCAGATGCACCTTGGAAAGCCAAGAGAAAGCCATTCACCATGGGAAACCCCAGAAGGTGACCCACACTTGGAAAATGGAAAGGTGAACAATGGCAGGTCTGTTGGGTCCTTGAGCAAGTCAGAGAGGCAGGGTAGGGGCACTGCTGTGGGAGCTACCTGGCTGCTTTTCCTGGTCACTGACCACAGAGGTCAGCCAGGGCTTCCCAAAGGGGTCAATTAATCTGGGGGAGATAAAGGGGGGGGGGGAGAACGCGCCTATATACAAGCCATTTCTAATGATGGGCAGCTGGAATCTTCTACACTCACGTTTTCACTCTTCTGAACAACCCTGCAATAAACATCTGTGTACCTAAGTCTTTGCCCACATTCTTGGGCTAGAGTCCCTGAAATAGAATCACTGGGCCAAAGGCTAGGAACCTTGAGAGGCTACTGCACACACTGCTTTGTTTCAGCTTCAGCTTCAGAGCCAAGGCCCTGAGGTGCAGGGCAGATAAAGGACTTCCCAGAGCGCTCCACAGGTGTGAAGGATGCTTCTCACACCCTTTCCTGGCTCTGCGCCCTGTGCTTCATGCTGAACGTCATGGCCACATGCACCCGCGCCTATTACTCCAGTGCCCCGATGTGCTCTCCCTGCCTCCAATTATGTTTCATCTTCCCCTGCCCTCCTGGGCATTCGTGGGCACTCCATACCCACTGCTCAATGAAATGACAGATTGATAAGAGCTCTCAGGAGGGGCAGAAGGTAGAAAGGCATTTGGCCTGAGGAAGAGAAGGTCAAGGTGGTCTGGGCCTTCATAACCAATAGAAGGACTATCCCTGTGCAAAGGACTATGGAAGCCTCTCTCTTCTCTGTATCCACTGAGTGTGAAAAAGGGGGTGTAAAGGAGAGAGGGGAGAGATTCAGGTTAGATAATAAGACAGAGCCAGGTGCTTGAGGCTATGGAATCCGGTGGGATCTATAATCCTAGAAATGCACTAGAAGCTTCTCCAGAGTCTCCCATGGTCCCTCAGGCCTGGAGAATGACTTTGTGGCCAGGGAAATAACAGATCCTGCCGCACAGTCTCAGAAGGCCTGGGAGCTCACTCCACTGAATCTACTGCATGGACCGGAAGCTGGGAGCCACTCCTGAAGCTTTAGCTCCCCATTGACTCCCCTCCCCCCAGGACCGACAGCCAGCCTACATCCCAGTGTACCCCACGCTCCTGGAACTTGGTGGATACATCATTGGGAGCTGAGGCCCAGCCCTGGAGTGCATGTTCTGGAGATGCAGGTTGAGTGTCTTAATCCCGCAGTGCCCTCTACCCTCCTCCTTTCCCCAAATCAGGAGTAAGAGGCAAGCAAAATAGAGTCTTATTAGTATGCATATGCATTCCCAGATTCCTTAACAGAGTGACTAACACCACCTACAGTCATTAGCTCCAGTTTGTTTTCTAAATCCAGTTTACGTTTCATTATCAAGCCTTCTGTTTACCTCTCCCCCTCCCCCAGGCCCCATGGGCTCCCTTCACAACCCCACCCTCTTGACCCCAAACCAAGTTTGGGGTTGGGTTCCTGATGCACCAAAGGGTCAGACCATCCTGGGAGATGCGTTCAATGAGCAGAAACTCTTCACTGAGCCCACCACCTAGCACGTCACTCAATGCTGTTGGGGTGAACACAGGGAGGAGGAAGACAGTCTATTCCTGGAGGGAGGACATTAACCAACCCTGGCACAGTGCCTCGTGCTTTATAAGAGCATCCCCAAACGCTGCCTCGCTCGTTTGTCACAACCATCACACGAAATGGATCATTATCCCCATTTTACAAAGACACTAAGTCTTAGACAGGTAACGCGACGGCTCCAAGAGTTTGGAGCTCTTGATGGATGGCACTGGATTTCAAACAACTCTGACTCCTCATCTGAGGCTCCTTCCTGGGTGTAAGGCAGCCTCTCCAGTACTAGCCTCGGTGCCACTGGGTGGCGAATGACCCGGTGCTGCCTGAAGGGCAGTAGATAGTTGGTGGAGGCTGTGCAGCCCAAGAGAAGCACCTGGAATGGTGGGTGGTGTGGTAGATGGAGCACCAGAGGGGAAGATAGAGGTCTGGACCCTGTTTCTTTAGTGCGACCTGGGGCACCTCTTCCTCTCGCTGGGCCTCAACTTCTCCATCTCTAAAATGGGAAAGCTGGGGCTAAATGGTTTCTAGTATCCAATGAAGAACAGCCAGGAAAACAGCCATCCAGAGAGGGACTTGAGACAATAGATGCCACTGACCTCCCTGGCTCTTGCCTCCTGTCAGGAAACCCCCAAATCTTCAGGGTGCCATTGAAGCAGAAACACTGCGGGCTGTGACAAGCGCCCAGGAGAATCTGGAAGGATCACAGCTCTTAGCTACTTCCCTCACCCCCCACACTTGCCACAGCCCTCCTAG